CCCGCTCTCCCCCCCCCTCCCGGCGGCACCGCCACGGCGGAGGACCCCATCCCTCCCCACCCGGCAGCGGGCGGCTCTTACCATGAACAGCTGGTCCACCTGGCCTTGGCATTTAATGTAGGCCTCGTAGTCGGCGAACACCTTAAACCTGAAACCCAAAGCGGAGCGAGGAGGCCAGGGTTTGCCTCCTCCTGTGGGCAGGCAGGGCTCAGCCCCTGTGCAGGGGCACCCAGGCCCGCCGGGAAGGAGGTGTTCGCTAGGACTCACCTGTCGTGGTACATGAGCATGTTGACAACGTCCTTGAAGCAACCAGGGTCTCGAGGGGAGAAAAACCCGCTGCTGATCTGGTCGATGGCCTGCCGCAGCTCCGGCAGCCGCTCGTAGTACTCCCGGGCGTTGTACCTGCACCCAGGAGAGACGGACTGATGCTCTCCCCTGTGGCCCAGCAGATGGAGAGCGGGACCTGACGTGTCCAGGGCAGGGAGGGCAGGCCAGGACATCGTATGGCTCCCGAGTGCAGAGCTGTGTCCATCAGAGCACCCTGCCAGTGGTTCTGAGACCAGTCACGGTGCCCGAAATGCTTTATGCCCAGGATCACGTCCCTTTCACAGCCACTGCGCTCTGGGTGAGCTGCCTGGGCTGCGTCCGTGATGGACCATCCACTGACCAGCCCAGGGCAGAGGCTGCCTCCAGCCCCTCTGCTTTTTTCTGCTCCAGATCTGCCCAGGGAGCAGGGTGTCCCTCCCAGAGATCGTGGCTCTCCCTGCCAGAGCTGGGACCCCTATCCCCCTCCGACAAGCCCTGGTACTCATTGGGCTCTCCCCAGCACCAACCCTTGGCGATCCAGGGCCTCCACATCCTCCACCCGCATGCCAAAGATGAAGAGGTTTTCTTCGCCTGCCTCCTCAGCCATCTCCACGTTGGCCCCATCCATGGTACCAATGGTGAGGGCCCCGTTCACCATGAACTTCATGTTGCCGGTGCCCGAGGCCTCCGTGCCGGCTGTGGAGATCTGCTGGGAGAGATCTGCCGCCGGGATCACTGCCAAGTGCAAGAGAGAGAGGTGTTACTGCTCGGCACACTGCAGCTTGCCATGACCGGGGCCCAAGACAGCAGCCTGGGCATCTGCTAGTGGCCCTGCTGGCCACAGCCTCAGCCCAAACAGCGTGGCTCTGTGGACAGAGCCAGGCCCCCCCCTGCCATAACCCCACGCAGCTGCTGTCACTCCTGCATGAAGCTGGCTGCCTGCCCTGGGTGGAGCCCTCAGGCCCTTCCTATGGCAGAGCCAGGTGACCTGCCATGAGAGCCTGTCAGGGCAATCAGTTTCTGGGCTCAGCTGGGACACGCCCAGCTCCTGACATGCCCTTACACGAAACCAGACGTACCTTTCTCAGCCAAGGATACCCGATAGTTCTCCAGGAAGATGACCTTGAGCCTGTCCCCCACATAGGGATCGTTGTTGACGACCTCACCGATGGACGTGATGAGTTTGATGATCATCTTGGCCATGTGGTAACCAGGGGCTGCCTGAAGAAGAGCAGCCCAGAAATGGTGAAGGCTTTTAAGGAAGGGAGAGCATGAGAGGTGCCAGTGCGGGTCCTCACTACCAGGAGAAGCTGGGGCTTGCCTCTGCTGTTCACATGGATCAGCAAAAACACCCTACTGGGAGAAGTCCTGAGCCATAGGGAAATTTTTTTAAAGAGTAACGGGGCCTTGTTCAGTCTGATTAGTCCATGAAGGTGTTTCCTGAAGAGCCTGCCAGCAGACACAGCTGGCTAACCTACAGCAGGCCCGGCAAAGCCCCAGAAAGGGGACAGCACCTTCCCCGCATCCCCACTGAGCCATGCATGCACGGAGTCTGGAACGCACGTTACCTTTCCTCCGATCATAATAGTCCTGGGCACAAAGGATTTGGATGGATCACTTCTGATGCCTGGAAGAGCAAGGTGTAACACAACTGAAGTGAAGATGAACTAGACAGAGTTTACTGCGTGCATCAGAGATGGGCTGGGATCCCAGCCCATGTCACGTGGACACAGCAAACTTGCAGGACCCTGAAGCCCAACCAGACATCTGCTGGAGCTGTGCTTGGTGAAAATGGGCTGCAAAGTCCTCAGAGAACTACTCAAGCCAGCACGATGCAGAGCTCCACTGACTTGCCTCCCTTCAGGAATGGGCGGGGGCCCAAAACGTACACTGGGGAGTGGGATTTCAACTTGCACCAGGTTAGTCCTAGCACCTGCAGCACAGGTGTGTGGGTTACCTGGGCCCTGTGACCCAGCTGGGCTGGTGACGTGGGCTGCAAGCTTTTTCTCGGAGCTCTGGACAACCCTTCAGACACTCATGTCTTCCCTCCTGGAGAGAAGCCCCTCATGACAGGAGGGCAGAGCTTGGCTCAGGAGTCCTTGGCCACCAGCTGGCCTACTTTTACACAGGAACTCTGGCAGTGACAGGCTGGGGGACACCCCTTGCCTACCAGCCCAGGCAGGACTTACGGTTGTAGAGGGTGACAGCATGCAGGCAGTTCAACAGTTGCCGCTTGTACTCATGGATTCGCTTGACCTGAACATCAAACATGGACGAAGGGTTGATCTTGACCTTGTACTGCTCCTCCAGGTAGGCTGCAAACTTCAGCTTGTTCTCCTGGAAAGAAAATCTGATGAGGAACTAGCGTGGGTTCCCAGGCTTTGCGTCAGAAGTGAGTGTTTGCTGCTGGGATGTTCCTGGGAGCACGGTGCCTTCAGCTTTCCTCCCCCCACCCCATCCCCAGTGCACATTACCTGTTTGACTTTTGCCACATCCCTGATAAAAGCCTCGTTATTGATGTAATCCAGTAGCTTCTTCAGCTGGCTCAGATCCGTGATAAAGTCTTCCCCGATTTTCTAAAAGAACAAAGAGAGGGATGTCCCACCCGTGAGACACCTCACCCAGCCACAACTGTGCTTCCCCAACAGAGACGCCACAGTCCTGTTGGGAATTGGAAGAGGCGCTCTGGCCACGAAAAGGGGCACAGCCTCTTACGGCAAGGTTACTTCTCTCTGTCATCAGGGAGCCCAAAGGTACAGGCGAAACGGGGCACTTGCAAAAACCTGAGCAAGTCCCTCTCTCCCAGGGAGCTGTAGAGGGAGGATGTGTGCACATGTACCAGGGCTTCCTGGCAGCTGGAGAAACTGATGGGCAGGACATAAAGATACCGTTAAACGCAGGATGTTGTTCAGCTCTGGCATATCGCAGGGTGAAGCAAAAACCTTTGCTAAAGGGCCTGGTAAACAAAGGAGACGGAACTGGGGCTGGAGCTCCAGGAGAGCTCGTTTGTGCCTGTGAAGCTGAATGCTTTCGCAGACGCCCCGTTTCATGCACCATGGTACTGCCTGACAGGTTGCATGTAGCCACTGCGAGGGCAGGGAACCGGATCCAAATTTCTGCAGCTATTTTGGCCAACTCTCCATCACCGACTTCAAAGCCCAGCCAATCTCACACTAGACGTGCAACAGGCATGCTCCTTCCAGGCTGTCCTCACTCACACCCGGCCAGCGTCAGCCTCGGGTCTCAACAGACCACACGAAGAGGTGATCAGAAGCAAACGGATCACGCTCAGCCCCTCACTTCAGAGGCTTGGGACTCACCTCAGCAATAACGTCGGCCAGTCCCGGGTTGCACAGCAGGAGCCAGCGCCTCGGTGTGATCCCGTTTGTCTTGTTCTGAAACTTCTCCGGCTCCAGCTCATAGAAATCCTTGAACCTGGAACACCAGGGAGCTCTGAACCACCTGCCACCACCCACAGCTTCAGCCCTCTGTGCTCCTGACTCAGGGCAGTCTCTGGGGATCTCCCTGTAACAACCGTGAACTCTCCATGCTGCCCCTCAACCCCTTCCTCAGCCATAGAAACATAGAATGCTTTGGGTTGGAAAGGACCTTTAGAGGTCATCTAGCCCAAACCCCCTGCAGTGAGGTTGCTCAGAGCCCCGTCCAACCAGGCTTCAAATGTTTCCAGGGATGGGCCCTCCACTACCTCTCTGGGCAACCTGTTCCAGTGTTTCACCACCCTCATGATAAAAAATTTCTTCCTTATATCCAGTCTAAATCTACCCTCCCTTCGTTTAAAGCCATTACTCCTTGTTCTATCACAACAGGCCCTGCTGAAAATATTTTCCCCATAATGTCAAGGGTTTCACCAGCTCCAAAGGGAGATGAATTAGACCTCGCACACATGCGAATGAGATGGCCTCCCCAGCCTGCTATGCCCAGCAGGGCAACCAAAGCAGACCTTGACACCCGATGGCGCCAGCTAGCCCCCCAGGCTTGCAGGCAATGCCCAGTGAGTGGAGAGGGTGCGTGCCTTGGGTGTCCCCCAACTCACACTGAATTCTTCACAATGTCCGAGTGGATGCGGGCCACGCCGTTGACTGCATGGGAGCCAATCACACAGAGGTGCGCCATGTTAATACGTTTGCAGTCTCCTTCCTCGATCACCGACATCCTCCGGAGACGGTCAACGTCCCCTGGGTAGAGAGCTGCCACCCGCTGCAGGCAGGCAGAAAGAGGGACATTAGCGAGCCAGCCGCAGAGCCTGGGAACGTTCCCTTCCTAAAGGCAGCCAGATCAAGAACCCCCCGCGTTCCCACAGCCTGGGACCAGCCCAGTCCCTTACGTCCAGATGCATTTGGTTGAGGGCGTAAATGATGTCGAGGTGACGCGGCAGCAGCTTTTCAAACATGGAGACCGGCCAGCGCTCCAGGGCTTCAGGCAGCACCGTGTGGTTGGTGTAGGCACAGGTCCGTTTCGTGATCTCCCAGGCCTGCGTTACAGACAGCAAGTTAACGCACGCGTGCCCAGGCCAGGAGGAGAAAGAAAACCCTGCATGAGGACAGGACAGCAGCTCCTTCCCCTGCAAGGTTCGGCACGGGCCTCCCAGCTCTGCTTACCTTGTCCCAATCCACCTTCTCCACATCCACCAGGATCCGCATGAGCTCTGGGATGGACAGGGCGGGGTGGGTGTCATTTAGCTGAATAGCCACCTGCAACACAGACTTGCTAGGCTCAGACTTGGCAGTGACAGGAATGGGATGGCATCCCGCACGCATGGGGTTTGAGCGAGGGTCAGCCCCGAGCCTCTTCTCATGGTACGCATCCCTGGAACAGAGTCCCCAGGAACGGAGCTATTCAGCCTTTCCAAGTTTTGCTCTAAAAGGCAAGTTTTCCCTGGGAAAATAGGCCCAGAGCTCACCTGTTTTCCAACCCAAATTGCCAGGGTCTTTGTACATATGATCCCACCTGGTCCTGAGCATCCTGCTCTCCCTCATGACAGGCAGGTCTGGCTGAAACGCCCCCGGACCCTCTCTGCCCACACACTCACCTTGTCTGGGAAGGTTTCAAAGCATGTTCTCACAGGGTCTCGACAGCCAAATTTGGAGGACTTAAAGCGGCGGATGATGTCTTGGAGGGTAGCAGCCACCACAAAGTACTCCTGTTTCAGCCGCAGCTCCTTGCCTTCAAAGAACTGCAAGTGGGGGGACCACAGCCATCAGCGCTGCAGCTGCCATCCCCAGCTGGCAGCCAAACCCCCTGGAGATGCTCCTATCCACACTGGTGGGCTTCCCAACAGGCCTCACAGGTTCAGCACCTCACTGGGGCAAACGTGGATGTTTCTCATACTGCCTCTGATGGGGCAGCAGCTGTAGGGACTGACGAGGGGCTCAGCATCCCAAACAGCTGCCTCCAATGGGGAACAGAACTTGCCGCATCCGTGCTCCTCCTACAGAGCAAGCGCAGCTCCCTCCCTCACTGCTAGACCCTTTGCAGGATTTTTGGACCAAGGATTTTTGGAATCCCTGCAACAGCCAGGAGACAGTGTCTCTGGGCACACCAGCTGCATCCCATGCACACTACACATCACACCGGTCTATTTTAAAACACCAGCAGGAA